GGTAGTGAGGACTTGGCAGAGCTTACTGAAAATAAGCAAATGGGATGATAGCACATATGAAGCATGGTAAAAAAGACTCATCTTGTGACTGGGAAGTGCAAGATCAGCTTGCAGATCCTATAAAAGGTACTCAGTGGTGGTGCAAGAAACCTGATGCAATCACAGAAAGTGCTGCTCTGCTCAAAATAAAAAAGGTTGGATTAAATCATAAGCGATTAATACAGGCTACTTAATAAAAAAACCTGAACATAGTTATTATGAGATTAATATCACCTCCTTGGTATCATGAAAACACATACAAAAACAACTAGTTGTCTGAAGTCTTCATAGTGGTAATTATACTTTTCAAAATCTGATGAGAAAACTACAATTTGATAAGAGAACACCTTTTCTTGGCTTTTGTTTGCATTTTACTGTGGTAAAGACATCAGGCTATTAAGAAGCAAGACCCATTGGAACATGTTTTCTTCACCTGTATCACTATTAAGTTTTGTTTCTTCGCATACCGAATTTCTTAATTTATTACCAACCTGTCGGCCTCACCTCTGTGCCTGGAAAGATCATGGAACAGATCCTCCTAGAAGCTCTGACAAGGCATGTGGAGGACAGGGAAGTGATTCAAGATAGCCAGCATGGCTTTCTTAAGGGCAAATCCTGCTTGACCAACCTAATGGCTTCCTACAATGGAGCGACTGCATCAGTGGGCAAGGGAAAAGCAGTGCATGTCATCTATCTGAACTTCTGAAATGTGATCCCCTACAACATCCTTCTCTCTGCATTGGAGAGTGATGAATTTGATGGGTGGACTGTTTGGTGGACAGGAAATTGGCTGGATGGTTGCATCTACAGGGTTGTGGTCAATGGCTTGATGGCCAGATGGAGAGGGGTGACAAGTGGTGTCCCTCAGGAGTCTCGGGTGCTGTTTAATATTTATATCAGTGATTTGGACAGTGGGATCAAGCGCACCCTCAGCCAATTTGCAGATGACACCAAGCTGGGTGGTGCAGTTGATATGCCAGAGGGACAGGATGCCATGCAGAAGGATCTGGATAAGCTGGAGAGGTGGGCATAGGTGAACCTCATGAGATTCAACAAGATCAAGTGCAAGGTCCCACACCTGGGTAGGAGCAAGCCTTGCTATCCATACAGGCTGGGGGATGATGAGATAAGAAAGCAGCTGTGCAGAAAGAGACTTGGGGATACTGGTGGATGAAAAGCTGGATATGAACAACCAATGTGCACTCGCAGCCCAGAGGGCCAGTCACATCCTGGGCTGCATCAAAGGAAGTGTGGTCAGCAGGTCAAGAGAGATGATTCTGCCCTTCTACTCTGCTCTCATAAAGCCTCACCTGGAGTAGTGTGTCTAGGTCTGTAGTCCTTTATGCAAGACGGACATGAACATGTTGGAACAAGTCCAGAGAAGGGCCACAAAAATGATCACTGGGTTAGAGCACCTCTCCTATGAAGACAGGCTGAGGAAGTTGGGACTGTTCAGCCTGGAGAGGAGAAGGCTCCATGAAGACCTTATAGCGGCCTTCCAGTATCTGAAGGGGGCCTGCAGGAAAGCTGGGGACTGTTTACAAGGGTGTGTAGCGATAGGATGAGGGGCAATAGCCTTAAACCACAGCAGGGTAGATGTAGGTTAGATATTAGGAAGAAGCTCTTTACAGTGAGGGTGGTGAAGCACTGGAACAGGCTGCCCAGAGAGGTGGCAGAGGCCCCATCCCTGGAAACATTCAAGGTCAGGCTTTACCAGGCTCTGAGTAACCGGATCTAGTAAAAAATGTCCCTGTGCACTGCAGGGAGGGCTGGACTAGATGACCTTTAAAGGTTACTTCCAACCCCATACATTCTATGATTACCCTATTTTAGAGAAGCATAGAGACCCACATTCAATCATGCCCCTTCCATTACCTTATTATAAGTACTGCAGTCTCGGAAACGACCAAAAAACCCATTTATCATACAAAATAACATTAGGAGAGAGAGCAGAACACTGTTTTCCAAGATACTTGTTTTATTTCACAGCAACACAAGCATTTAGTTGGCACTGACAAAAGACAAAAAGCTGTGCCATGACATATTTCAATAAAAAATGATGGCAACACGAATACTGTTTTTTAATTAAAGGAATCTCTTAAAGTACACTAATATACAACTGCAACATCTTTACTGTTCTGCTCTGGGGTATGCTATTAGGGAAGTGGTGGCAATGAAATTAGGCAACTACTGTGTTCTTATTGCCATAAACTTTACAAATCTTATCTAAAATGAAAATGCTCTGGAAGGCAGAGTATTGGCGATAACCTAGAAAATGGCTTTGTGTACAGTCTGAATAATAGCCTTCTTTGAAATTGACTGAAAGGACTCAGAGCACATACACAATTTTCATTTTAAGGGTACTATATGTTCAAACAATATACATGCCATACTGAAGATTCCTAAGATCATATGCTAGAATTATGCCAAAATAAAGAGACAGAGACAGTTCCTGCATCCTGGATTTCAAGTGAGGAGAGAAACTCCTTAGCTCAATGGAAGCCATAAATATTAGAAACATTTAAATACTAAAAGTTCCAGGGCTTTTTTCTTCAGTGAAGAGACTTAAAATTTATGTCACTAACATTAAAGCTGTTCCAGATATAAGTGCCTAACAAAGACAATGAGAAAAAAAATGATGTTTCAGAGAACGTAAGTTTTAAAAAAAAATAAAACGGAAAATGTTATGCCTTTATCAGAACAAGTAGCTAACTAAGTAACTTCCCTGCTTTCAAGGTCTTAATTCTGAGAGGTTGGTGGTTGCTAGTGTTGCAAAACGACCACATCAGTCCTTCCACAGGAGGAGTGGCTGAGACAGTGTTAGGCCATGAAGAAGTTGAGATGCAGGAGGTAAAATGAAAGAAAGCACAAGAAACAGATGAAACTGGGAAGATAAGGCACTTCTGAGAAGTTGGACTAAACTGACAGATCGAATGTGCAGTAGTGGACAGACAAGTAGCTTTTATGCTACATCAGTACCAGTATTTTTTGCCTAAAAACTAGCAGGTTTTTCAGCATGTAAGTCTTTCATATATGCAACCACACAGCACCTGCAGAGACAGGGAAAAACTGCTTCTTTGTGACTTCTCTGGTTTATCAGTTTGCTCACACTGACAGCACATGCTTTGCTACAATTGTCAGAGAAGAAAAACATTCCTGTACTTACTGAGATGTATTTTATTAAATGCTTCACTTACTGCAACAGGGCATGGCAAAACAATGGCTTTACAACACAAAACTGCAAAATTAGATGAGTAACTGCCAGGGAAGGTCACCTAAGAACTATTGTCAAACATGCCAAAGAGAAGCCCATTACTCTTTTTTCTGAGAAGCATCCTGAAGAATTTTGGCACTTCATAATGAACAAGGCTCCTATAACATTTGAAAGGCGGGTTTCAGGTACTAGGTCAACGCTTGTCAAGGTATCTTAAACATAAGGATTGGTTTTAATTGTCTAAGCAAATGCATACCTCCAGATCAGCAGAAACACTAAAATGCATTGTTTCCATTTTCTCTACTTGTGAAGCACATTCTCCACCCTTTCCATGAGTCAGGATCGAGAGATCACAACATGTTGTGCATATGCACATACTGTGTACCTCCTGGGCAGTTGCTTACCTCTATAATAAAGCTTAACTGAGCCTCAGAATTCTTGTAAACAACCAGAACATGCCACTTTCTATCTCATAGATTTTTAACAGTCATACTTTCTTTCTAATTTAAATTGAAATATATATTCCAAAAACTAGGCTCTTTGGCTATATATGGACACAGGAAATATTTTTAAGGGCTGCATGATATTCAAGAAACAGGAGAGGACTGCATCTTCCCATGTTGGTATCTCAGTGTTCATCTCCCGCAACTCTCCTTAACTAAGAGTGAGATAAAGTTGCATTCATTTGTTAGAAATGTTAATGGCCATACTTTAATATTTGCATCACCACCCAAGGATTCTGGCATTCATGCTTTGTGCAATGAGAATGCCTAACATCAGATACATATATTTTTAATCCTTTAGGTCCCTAAAGCCAAATACTACCATCAGAGCATATTAATGTGAATTTGCACTATTCACTGTGGGATCCTCTTGGTCACTGTAATTCCAGAATAACTTTAAGTAGCAACTGGGCTTTTTATCACCCATTTGCACCATTTGCAAGATAACTGTCCTTTCTATACATTCATCTATCTTGATCTGGATGCCACACCATACAATGATTTTTCTCACAGGACTAATCAGTATTTCCTACCTTCACGCAGGCCAACTGTATCCCAACAGTACTGGACTTGGGAACACACTTTAGAAGTACTTAAAAGTACGTGAAACATACGTCTGTACTTTCTGTCTTATGTATGCTTTGAAATGTTGTTTTGTCCATCTGTTTGCTATGTACTTTTTCACACCACAGCTGTAACATCCTATTTTTAAAGAAGTATTTATGGTACAAGTGTATCCCTTCACTCTCCTAATGTTTAATCTAAAACATAACAAAACAATTAAGGCTGAAATCTTTAATTAAATTAAGGTGAAGGAGGACTGGATTTCACTCTGGACTTTTTAACAGAGTAATTTCCTTTCTTCATGATTGTCCAGCCACACTGAAGGCAGGCCTCAAGACAGGCAGAAGACAGGACATTACAGACTGCCACTCAAAAATTACTTATTTTAGAATGGTAATTTCAGTCCTCCTCATTGTTCCTCTTCCTTTCCCCTCCTCTTCAATTCAAACAATAAAGGTTCTTTACAAAGACTCTGGATAGATATGATCTTAAGAACAGGAAAATATCTGCATAACAACAATCTAGAACAGTCAATTTTTTGCTCCCATTAAGCCAGAATGTTAGTTAATTCCTTAATTCTCACTGAGTTCAGCCAAACAGCACTAATTTTAAAAGCCATAAAAAATTGAACTATGTAGTTACTTATATAAAAACAAAGCCATGCCAGTATTTATACTTACAGGTTGAGGCTGTTCAGCAATACAGCAGTTGAAACACAACCAAAACTCACTCATTGTTTACAATGTGAGGTGGGAACGCAGATGCAAAGCCGCACTCAACCTCTGTCTCCAGGTAGGAAGTTCTTTAAATAGGTTATTTAAAATGGTTCCAATGTGAAAATCTTTTCTCTCGAGTTCTTCTCCAAAGACAAGCCAGTTCCAGGACAAACAACTTGAAGGCAATAAGTTATTTTAGATTCTTCCTTCAGAAGGTTGGTCCCAACACCACAGAAATGTTGCATATACTCCTTTGGTCCCTAGTGTTACATGAACCTGAAAACAGAAGTACATTACATCAAAAAGAAAGAATACAAAGCATCTTGAGCTCCCAGACAGCCACCCACACCAGTCATTTCTTGGTAATATCTTAAACCACAGACTGAAGAGACACGAGCAAGGAAGTCATATGCTTATTTATACAGTGACCACCAAAACTTGCATATACCAGAAATTCATATAAAGTTTATATTGCAGCTATGGTGAGACGAAGTGATACCAAGAACTGGTGTCCAGTCTCTGATCTGATTATGACTTTCAAATGTAATTTTTAAAAGTGACAGTTGCCCATATATCCCTTTCAACTTCTTAGGGAATTGTGCCTTATTGCCACTTCATATTTCTCAATGGAAAAGTTAACCAGTCCATTAAAAGCAGAAGCTTAAACAGCACTTAACCTGAATCCCATTGCACACGTGTCAAGCAAAGAGATGCTTTTCTAAATGTTGAGTAAACAAATAAATTCACATATATGAAAAACTTGCAAAACTTCAGCCTTCTCCACATCCTGTGTGATGAGCTCTCCTGCTTCCTTCTGCAGAGGGCCCTCATTTTCCCTGTTCTACCTCTTATCACTGATGTACATGTAGAAACCTTGCTGACAGTGCCCTCTGTTCCCTCATTCAGGTAATTTATGAATATATGTTGAATATATTGAATATGACTATTCCCAGTACCTACCCCTGAGACACTCCACTAGATACAGGCCTCCAACTAGACTCGGTCCCATTGACGACAACTCTCTGACTTCTTTCGTTCAACCAGTTCACAGTCCACCTCAATAACCGATCATCCAGACCACAGTTCCTCAGTTTAGCTATGAGGATGCTGTGGGAGATGGTCTCAAATGCTTCACTGAAATCAATATATGACAGAGTGTTGGCAGACAATGAACTTCTTGATTTTGTAACAAAGTACTTATTCCTGGTACCCTAGGGATAGCTACTGAACTACTAGTAGTACATTTTATTCTTAGGATACCTTTGAATTCTAACCTTAGCTTCTGTTAAAATATCCCAGTTTCCCTACCATTTGAATCTGCTTGTGCGTTCCACTTTAAAGAGTTAAGACCCCAGCGTTATACGCAATTGTCCTGGTTTGAGCCAAGATGTAAACACTTTTCTTTCTATTGATTTTTTTTCTTCTTACTCTTTCAGGTACCAGCAAGTCTTCCAGCTAGTGAACCGGTAATACTGGAATGGTTATAGATACTACGGAGACAACAAGGACACTTTGCTCTGTATTTATTTACTGTAAAAATCAAGTCCATATTATGAAGAGCTGAATTTTTAAAGTCTTATTGTAAAACCAGCCATTTCATAGGCAACAACCCCACAGGATGCAACCATGAGGGGCAGATATCACAAAGGAGCACCAATAGTTCTGGGACCGCATCAACGCGCCTTTCTCCTCAGCAATGCTCTCAATCCATTCTCTGCCCAGCCTGTATTTGTGCTTGGTATTGCCCCGACCCATCTGCAGGGCCTTGCACTTCGCCTTGTTGAGCTTCATGCACTTTGCACAAGCCCGCTTGTGTGTTCCCACAGCTGCTTCCCCCTGGGCACAGGCTGCGGGAAGCTGCTGCCGACCAGGAGATGTCCCTGGGTGCCTCTGAGGTGTGAAAGCGGAGAGGGGAAAAGCACTCTGGGCATCTTCCATCCCATCTGGCCACCTTCAGCCCAGTGATTCCATGGGGCGTTGCCTAGCAGAGGTGACATCACAATAGGCTCCCCTGTGACAACAGACCCTGCCCTCTACTGTCCCCCTGCTCACATCACTTGCTGCGGTGAGGAGGAGGAGGAAGGCTGCAGGCTGTCCATCCCTCCCACTCAGTCTCGTTTCCCCCAGCCAGAAAGGCTCCCGTCCTCTGCAGGACTGGGTCTGCGTTTCTGCTCAGGGAAGCAGTGGTGCGTTTCCTCTGCCTCGTCCAGCTGCTGCGCTGCTTCTCGGGCTCGCTCGAGTCGGGCACTGCCGGCAGCACCAGGTCACCTCTGTGGCCACAGACATGGGGCAGAGCAACAGGAAGGTGAAAGCGTCCGGGGAGATCACCTCCCAGGTAGAGGCTCTGGCGGGTCCCCTGGGGGCTCCCCTGCCCAACCCCCTCCTGCGGGCTCTGCCCTTCCACCACGGGCTGGCTCAGGCCCCAGCTCCCGGCGGCACCTGGGGCTTCCC